TATCATTTTACGATTAAATGTACCTAAGTTTCCATGTAGTACGTTGTTTTATAAAATACATGCTAGGATTTCAATTTTTTTTGGTTTGCAACGCATTTTCTTCATTTGGGGTCATTTATGTGTTCTTGTACTTGTAATAATTAATTGGAATAGAATAGAGTCGAATAATAGTCGAATAGTAGAAATGCAGCCGAATATTAGTACCAGAAGGAGGCGGTCGACCAGCTGACCATTCCTGGCAATTTGCCAATCAGCGTATCGATTTTTCACCAACTTCGCTTCAATGCGAAAGTGGTGAAGGAAAATTCGAACCCGTAGTCAGCCTAGCGAGGGGCGGAGCCCTGACGTTCCCCAATGTTCCTGCTCTTATTCTCCCTATCCAGACCCTTTTCCGACCTAATTCCTGCACGAATGGTATCAGAGGGGGCATCGAATTCAAACTATGTGCAAATCTCCGAAACCATTTTCTCCTGACCTGTGCCTTTAAGCTGGTACCCCACACTCATGGCCCATACTAACATCTGTTCCTTTATTATCAGAAGGAGGGCTGTCACGAACGGTCCGACACTACCCAGAGGTACTACTGAATCCCTCGGCCAGTCGATGAAACAACAACACTCATATTTACTTCACGACCTAGATACACATAGCATGAACATGGTCTTGTAGGTTTAGTCTTGAACCGACCGTTCCACAAACACTGTCGAATTCGGCCAGCACTTCTTCCGCCCACTCGATGTTTGGCTTAATAAACACAAAATCGTCTGCGAGGCATGGATGATGCAAGTACGGGCGACTTCCACTCCCAACTCTTCCCATTGCAGATGACGTATAATGTTCTCGAGAGTGACACTGAAGAAATTGAACCAAATGATATCGCTCTGTCGAACCCTTCTCTTCACCGTGAGAATGACAGTTTCAGAATGGATAATCATGAGAATGAAAAAATACACCTCATCACCCAGAAACGAGGGCGATAGGGGAGTTGTACGATTTCCTGGGGCTGACTGCATATTAACAGATCATCGTCGGAGGATTAGATCGTTGGCTCATTTCTTTTTCTGAATTTCCCGACAGTTCCATACTTTATTCCATTTTGATTTTGATTCTTTCTGTGAAGTGTTCCTATGTAGTGACAAGTTATATGCAGCTCTGTTATTTGAGGTCTTAAGCAGCAATGTTACGCCAAAATTTGTCAGCTAATTTTGTCAGCTTCTATTAATTGTTATTCCTCAAAATAGTCCAGGATCGACTTTCTTCCAATCTTGGCATGATATGTATTAACGATAATCCTCTTTAAGCCTTTCAGGATTGAACACAATTTTTTAGGCCAACGTTTCGGTTGCTTGGCCTTCTTCAGGGTCTGAAGTAGTGTATCGTTGTTATCTCTCCCCGTCATAAATCATGAGTGTCCCCGCTCTGTCGTATGTATTCCTTCCTGTTTTGAATGCTCTAGGCCAAGTGCAAGAAAATTCATTTTTAAGATGATATGAATTCTTGAATTATGAAAATGATACGCATATGCTGGGTGGTAATGAGAGGAGCGACTAACGGCGTCGACTTATGTAATCCATTGGTCTGAACCATCTCCGGAACCTTGCTTGCATGGCTCTCCTTCATCTAATAGTCGCCAATCCTATTGAGGATCACGCGAGTGAAAGCTTGTATTATAGATAAGAGAGAGCAGGCAGATTTTAGCGTAAGTAAGAAAGCATGTTCGAGATGCCATAAGTGTTTCGTTAGGTCGACGAATGGAAGTCTTTTCAGCCCGGTGTTGGCGAAGCTCCTTCGGGCTTTGCGAATGCTCTTCTCGACCTCGGCGTTTCATCCTAGTAACTGCTGCTCTCTTCTCTTTCATATATTCCTTTTTCGCTTCTCTGCATAGCTTCGCAAGTTTGGACGTTAGATGGTTATTGCCTGCAGCTCGCGTGATTCAGTGCCAGANTGCCAGACTTTAACTGGGGGCTGGGTTGACTCCAGGTAACTAGTCAGGCTATCCCAGAGTGGAATAGGGGCTTTGATTGTGGAAGTGGTCCCGAATCGCCTCCCAGCTAATTCCCAATCACTCGAACGCAGGCTATTGGCCGAGTCGGTGGGCAGGATACCAGCTGCACATCGGGGAAGGCTGTACTCCTCATAGATGAGTTTTTTGGTAAAAAGACCAGCTTTTTCTTCTGTTTTGTCTGTTACTCACGTGTACTTAAAACATACCTCTCATTCTGAACCGACTTATTGATATCTTTATTTCTGGGCAGCTATGAAGGTACTGAATTGTAGTTATCGTTCAGTTGATCAAGGCCGAGCACAACGATTCAGGAGGACCTGCTGACTTTCGGGAGTTCTTTCCCTCCGCTAATTTCAATTCAGCATCTCCCGGAAACATAACGAAAACTTTCTTTTTGACTTTTTCGGAGATCTGAAAGTGAAGTTCTTTATTCTTCAGTGTTCACGAGTTGTAGTTGATGATTATCTCTATCCTCTTCCTCTTCAGTTCATTGATTGTACTAGAGAACAACTTTTTTTTCAAGGAGCTCGACGTCACGCCCATGAGAATTGGTGTACCATCCGTTATCGATACATCAACATTTTTGTGCGTTTGCAAGAGGTTAGGTTTCGATAAAATTATTTCAGCTCAGCTCTGCATTCACTACAATTTGCAGGGAACACCACCAGGATTTAAACAGCGAGAGAAGCTCAAAAATGGATGGGAGCACATGGATGCCTATTATAAATACCTCAGATCTCGAACAAAGAAGTATAGCATATGAGAGATATAGGCATTCATAGTCATCTTCTGCTATAAAGATTTGTTTTTCAACATATAGTGCTTTGAAAGAAAATAAATCTTATGATCGACTGGTTGCGGGTCTTAAAGGCGGTTTGATCTCCACATTACGTCACCTCTTCGGAACAATTTTTATTTATTGATTTACTGGTTGCCGTTATAGATGGTAAACGTTAAGAAAGGTGTTTTGGTGACCTGTGATCCAGCGATGCGACAACTTCTCATGCATCTGGATGAGTCCAGAACGCTCGGTAGCAAGTTTATCGTTAAGGTCAGTGCTATTCATAGAATCCTTGGTGCAGACAAGAAATGGGGAAAATCAACTTCTCTTTATTAAATACGATGACCTGGAGTTACTGCACCGTTTGTTCTACTTTCACTACTTTATTCATAAGTGATGGAAGATTATGAATTAACTGCTGATTTGAATCAACCTACATTTTGACAAATAAGCTTTGTGTTCATTGAAAATATCGTATGTTCGAAATGCAGTACATTGTTTCATTCCACTTGTTTGAAGTCATTTATCGCTCAATTTTTCAAATTATCCTTGGAATTTTATGAGTTTAGTAAGAACGCTGAATGGGTCTAGTTACCTTTCACAGCAGCATCGTGCTTTTCATTTCTATGTAGGTGTAGAACACATTCGTTCACAGTCGCGACCTTTTTCATTAGAAATATGGTAAGGTCTGTCTATCTTAGGAATTGGACGAGACACACTTGTTTATTGATCGTGAAATAGTGAAGATACTCGAGGAAAAATTGGATCAGTTGATGGAGCAAATGAATCCTGAACTCAGCGAGAAGTAACGCACGGTAATAAACTGCTTGAAGTTTCATGCATAAAATTTCATTTATCTTGGGTCAAGCTGCCAATAATGTTGTGGTTTACTACTACCCACATTATTACTGCACAGTGTGCCCTTGATTCGTCCTCTTTCGCACAGTATCCCTGAAGCAGGTGCTGTTGTAATAGACAAGGCTCAGGGGTTGTGACAATGTTCGAAATTGCAGGCATTTGACTAGTTTTGTGAAGAGTTCCCAGACTTGCTCATAAAGAAAGAGTCAGTCATTTCGAAGATAGCGTTCCGTAAGAGTGTCGAGTCCTCGCTTCGCTGCCGCTTCATCATGGCTGCCGCCATTAATCTATATGCAACGTCGCACAAGACCGATATAAAAGAGGCTGGTCCGAGACAGCCGGGTCGACTTACTCTGCTCCGCAGCCGTTGATCTTCGCCTTGGCCGTATGGCCTCCTCGTCCTGACCCTTTCCCCTTGTTCTTTCTATAATGTTATATCAGTAATAAACATATGTAGGCAAGACTAATGTATCACAGAAAAACTCTCGTTCCGGCTACAGAATCAGATGTAGGAGTCATGAACCTATAGTCTGGTATGGAGGTCCCAGTGAGATTGTTTTTCTTCGGGGTATAATACTAACTAAATTCTCTCCCTCCCCCCTATTTTTCTGTATGGTACCATATAAAACTTACATCCAACACTTTCCCTCCATATCCCTTCGTCTGTTCGAATGGAAACAACTACATCGACATGGAATCGATTCAATACAGGACAAGGAACTTCAGCAGCGATGCCAGGTAAGTCGATCATTTGATTATTTGTATAAACAAATTGAAATGGGATAGACAATTCTC